CGATCCCGTTGCCGGTCCCGGTCCGGTGCGGGCGCGACACTGAGGGTTGCGATCCGTTGCTGGTCACAAAAAAAGAGACAAAAAGGAAAAAAAAAAAAAAGATACACACTGCATAAAACTTTTATGTGAAATTCTACAAAAGGAAAAACTATGGTAAGAGAAAGCAGCTGTGTGGCCATAGGGGCAAGGGAGCAAGGCTGGGAGGCATGAACCACAGGCATGATGAAAATGCTCTATATCTTGATTGTTATGGTGATTGCATGGCTACACACACTTACCAAAACTCATTGAACTGTACACCTAAAGACAGTGAATTTTAACATCTGTACGTTTTACCTCAATAAAGCTGATCTTTAAAATCAATTGTGACGGCTACACAACAACGTGAATGTACTTAATGCCACCAAACTGTGCATTTAAAATGGTTAAAATGGGGGCCGGCCCATGGCTCACTCGGGAGAGTGCGGTGCTGATAACACCAAGGCCGCGGGTTCGGATCCCATATAGGGATGGCTGGTTTGCTCACTGGGTGAGCGTGGTGCTGACAACACCAAGTCAAGGGTTAAAATCCCCTTACCGGTCATCTTTTAAAAAAAAAAAAAAAGAGAAGGAAAAAACCCTTCTTTCAGCAGGACAACCACTAACTATCCTGTCCCATTCCAGCGGTCTACAGGCTGAATAAAACATGGCACACGTACTGACCACAATTTACCTTCTTACTACGAGTTACGTACTGCTTTAAGTACTTCACGCATGATAACTCATTTAACCTTCAGAGAAAACCCAGATGAGATAGGTATTCTCATGAATGGCATTTCAGAGAGGAGGAAAAGTTGCCCAAGGACTCATGGTGAATTCAATGATAAAGTTGAGATTTGAACCTGGGTAAACCAATCCAGAGCCTGTGCTGGACTTTGAACCCATGTGAATCCAATCCAGAGCTGGGGATCTTAACCTTTACACTACACAGGTCTCCACTATGTGCAGACCTCACATAGAGGAATACTATTTTAAAACTGTATGTAAATGGAGCTGTAATCACTAAAGTGAACAAAATGTTTTATGAAATGTGTAGTAACTCTTTTGGTCAGTCAAATTTGTGTTTCTCAATCAACAGACACCAAAAGTACCAAGAAATTATGTTAGAGTCTTTAACATTTTTTGGCATTACATTTTTGACATAAATTATACTGATACTGTCCTAACTCTTAGTTTGGGTGGCAGATTCCTAAGTTTCTCTGTATTGGTATGCTGCGTAACATATGTGTGCATGCATACGTGTACACACACATATACTCATCTCATATTCTTCTGAATGACTCAAATATTACATAACTTTTTCAATGGTTCAGTGCACTGGCAGCCTAAAAAGATCAAAATACCAACTGTAGAAAACAAGGGGTCTTCACGTGGAAAGGCCCAGAGTCAGAGAGATGAGCCAGGGAAACTCAGAGAGGTTCATTTGGGCAATAACAAAGCTTGTAACCTCAGCATGCGTCACCTACGGACGAAGGTGGATAAAAAGTGCTCTCTTCCTCGTGTAGAAAGGGGAGATTGTGGAAGACTTCTGAGTGGTATCAGTTAAACATCTTTTGAGAATACTCATTTAAATGGGCTGGGGAAGGGATAAGGAGGAATGAGAATAAAACACCCGTGCATTTCTACAACGAGTATGTATAAGTTTTGCAATCAGAAAAATAAATGTGAACAACCAGGAAAAATTCCAGAAGCAGTAAGGTCCTACTTATAAGACCCCAATGCCTGTGGCATTTACTCCTTCGCTGCCTCACTGGAAACCTTGTCCTCATGCCCTACCACCCCATTCTTCCTTCTCTTACAGACCTTTGTTAACACCTTGTTCCCAACTCCACCATAACGCTTATCACATTAGGATAATAACCATTATTTATTAACCACCAGCTTGGAGGGGAACACTGTCATAGATACTATACATACATTCCCTTTTTTAACCATCAAATCATCCTCATTAACAGATGTCACTATCTCCATTTTACAGACCAGAAACTGAGACATAAAGATTAAATAACTTCCTCAAATTAAACAGCTAGCACATGGGCGACCCAGCTCTTTCCTTACGGCAAAGCACCTGCTCTTTCTGTGTTATGATGTAATGTTTACGCAATGGCAGGCACATCTTAAGTGCTGAACGGAGCAAACGGAGCTAGACCTATGCTGCCTGCTGCCAATGAAGAACACACAGGAAAGCTTTACTGTACAGGTGGACTCTTCTATCCCCACTCGTCCTGCCAGATAATACCCAACGGCCCAGGCATTACAAGAAGCCACCACACGCAGGGGACCAGCAGTTGCATCTGTGTGATCACTGCGTTCCCGCACGCACGCCCCTACCCACCGTCCCGGTCCCCTGCAGTGGTGGTGGGCCTTCGCATCGTTACTTCTGCAGAAAAGAAACAGATTTAACCCCTACAGAGACAACCCCGCCCCCCCCATATCCTCTGAGGGTATCTCTAGTAACCTAAAAAGAAATTTCTTAGTTGTGGCTAAACTCATAAAATGCTGGAGAAATGATTTTATTTGTTCTACATCTCCTAGTCAAGTTCCATCAGAAGGGACCACAACGAATTAAGTTACGATATTGAAAGTTCATCTACAATAGCTCTTTAAATTACCTACCTAGATGATGCTGTTTGCATTAAGCAGCAGTGCCAGGAACGTAGGGAGAGCTCCCCACAAAGAGGCTTATGATTGGAATACAGACTCTTGACACCACTCACCAGGCACCAAGTTACACTGACACTAAGTGCTGAGGAAAATCAGGACCCTCTGGAGATGGAGCACTGGGTGGTTTGGGTAGGCAGGCGCCGCGCAGGCCGTCGATGAACACGTGCGAGCCGAGCACTGAGAAGAAAATAGACCTTCCCAGGGGCTCCTAGTAAAACAGAACGACTTTTTCCGTGAGTTGAAACCATGTTTGATTTTAAGGATTAACCGATACGGCAGTTTTATTATTGTCGGGAAGGTCCCTTCAGTACGCGCCCCAGCGAGCGTTCTTGGCCGGGCGGGCCCTTTCTTGCCAACCGGCTGCTCCCAGCATTTTAAAGAGCTGAGCGCGGCCGTGTGGCAGGGGCCGGGTCTTTCCCGCTCTGGGTTAACATATCAATCAGTAAGTTAACCTGTACCAAGGGCATCTGTCCTTGAGCCAGCAATTTTGCTGTGTTATAGTTCTTTATCTCTGGGGACATTGCTGAGACCCCCGGTCCTCCCCACCTTCTGGCTTGGTAGCCCAGGGGACTTCCAGTCCTTCTAGATGTTATAGGTGTTCTTTGGTGAAATGAGACCTTTAGTAGTTAATATCAAACTTTGTCTCTGGTTGCGGGTGCTTTGTTTTTTCCTTTCATTTCTGTGATGGATTATTTGCTGTTCCCACCATTTAAACTCTGCACTGGAACTAATTTGTTTTCCTTTTCTTACTTCCAAAATGAGGGAACTTCTTGTGGGGACCAGTACTTGAGCTCTGTGGTTGAGCTAAATTGCTGCTTTGCTGCTGTTTCCCTGGGAAAGGCTTTTTGTGCAGCTCAGGTTTTAATGGTATTTTTACAGGTATTTCCGGCTCTCGAGAGATCCAGTATACCTGGGTTGTGTAGAAACTCTGGTCTGGGCCTGAGTCTTTTCATCAAACTGCACCCCATGCAATTCTATATTCCTGACCAGTTTCCTCTGAGTGGTCCTATCCTGATTGGGGTGCAGATCAGCTGTCCATACTGTGCCCCAGTGTTCTCTAAGTGGGCCTGTCTCCCCCACTGCCCATGCTGCAAACACTTCCCATGGGACAGGCCATGCACCAGTCCCTTGCGATGACTCACTGGCCTCTGATTGGCTCCTTTTTTTCAGTTGTTGTGGATCCTCACTCCTATGTGGGTCCATGGAAACTCCATTAATGGTCTTGCTGGCCTGGGGGCCACTGTGGCACTTTTCTCCCCTACTGCCTCTAAGCAACTTCATCTGACAGGGACAGCGGTGGCTTTTGCTGGCTCCTGCTCCATGAGCTCAACAGCTCCAGCCTGGAGGTGGTCAGGGCTCAAAACGGTCAGAGCAGTTTTTTCTCTCTCTCATCATGGTTTCTCCTGCCTTCATACACTCCGTAGGTCTCTCCTCCTATTCCTCTGAGCTCTAGCGGCCCCAGCTTGGCTGTCATTGCTTTTTTATAGTCGTAATAACTTCGTATAGCATACATTATACGAAGTTATACGAGCAGATAATTAGTAGCCAGGACGGGAAGCGCGCCCCGGAGCGATTCCCGGCTCGGAGGCCTGCGTGCCGTCCGACGCCCCCTCCCCGGCGCCGGGAGCCCCTGAGGTCAACGGCTGGGCCACGCCGAGCCCCTCGGCGGCCTCGGGGAGGCGGAGCGGTGCATGCCGGGACCCGTAGTTCCCTCCCGCGCCCTCGTTTCCCCCAGTGCGGCTCCTGGTGTGGGGCAGGGGAGGTGCTTGCTGCGGAGCCCGCTGCTCAGTAACCGCTGCACTGCACATGGCCTGGGGAGCGAGGGAGGTCATGTTGACTTGGGTCAGGGCTACCCGCTGTGCTTCAGAGCAGGCTCCGCGGATGGTCCAAGATGGTGAAATCCAAGCCTGCATTTCGTGCCCTCTCCCCAGCCATTGTTTCTCCTCGTCCTGACTTCCTAGTGCTCAGCTCCACGCTTGTGTGACTTGGGCAAGTCTTGACCTGGTCCCCACATGCATTTGTCTTTGCCCCAGATACTTGGGACCTCGATCCCCTGCTCTGACTGTTCTCCTGTGGGCATGTGGCTTCCCCTTCTCTCTCCAGTGCCCTGCCGGGTTTTTTTTACAAGGTTGTTACTTCAGGAAGGGTCATTTCCCCATTTGTCCTCCACTCCTTCCCATTTACTTTTCGACTCCTCAAGGCCTGTCTATTCTGTCATGGAAGTTTTCCGTTAGGGAAACACACACACACGTACCAGGTGGCACGTGGGATCACCTTTTATAAATGCTAAAGAAGAGATGCAGAAGCCTGTAAGTACCTGGGAAATACTCCAGCCCAGAAATAAAAACTTAGGGGCCGGCCTGTGGCTCACTCGGTAGAGTTCGGTGCTGATAACACCAAGGCCATGGGTTCGGATCCCATATAGGGATGGCCGGTTCGCTCACTGGGTGAGCGTGGTGCTGACAACACCAAGTCAAGGGTTAAGATCCCCTTACCGGTCATCTTTTAAAAAAAGAAAAAGAAATAAAAACTTAATTAACCTACCAGTGAGGAGTACTTGAAGAGATCCCGGCTGGGAGGTTAGGGCCTGATGGAGAGCCTCTGTGCTCATCTATAACCTGGTATTTTCTTTTTACCCATTTTGAACTGTTCCTATTCTCATATTGCTCATTCCTTTCGTTTTCCTGTCTCCAAACCAGACTCTGTTCTGAGGACCACCGGCATTTAGGAAGAATGAGGAAATTTAGCAGAAATACTTTTCCTTTTGCTGATGATAGTAATAATCTTTTATTCAACTCTCTGCCGGTTTAATTTTCTGACAACTCAGGGAGATAGGGATTATCATCACTAGTTACAAGTAAGGTCTGGATGGAGACTTAGCCAAGATTATACAACAAAAATTTGAACTTCGATCTTTTGTCTCCAGTTTTCTTTTTTTTTTTTTTTTTAAAAAAGATGACCGGTAAGGGGATCTCAACCCTTGGCTTGGTGTTGTCAGCACCATGCTCAGCCAGTGAGCAAACCGGCCATCCCTATATAGGATCCGAACCCGCGGCCTTGGGGTTATCAGCACCGCACTCTACCGAGTGAGCCACGGGCTGGCCCATATGCCAAAATTTCTAATTCTTTTTTTTTTTTTTTTAAAAAAGATGACCGGTAAGGGGATCTCAACGCTTGGCTTGGTGTTGTCAGCACCATGCTCAGCCAGTGAGCAAACCGGCCATCCCTATATAGGATCCGAACCCGCGGCCTTGGTGTTATCAGCACCGCACTCTACCGAGTGAGCCACGGGCTGGCCCATGTCTCCAGTTTACTAAACCAAGTCTTGCAGCACCTCAGGAAAGGAGGGGAGGTTAGTTGCCTCCTAACCAGACTACTAGTGTCAGAATCCTTTGAACATTGGTCCCTTGATTCTGCTTACATGTAGGCAGGAGATGATGAAAACAAGAGTCCCATCATGTTCCCCTCAGAGGCTTGCAAGTAGTTTTGGTGCTCCTTTCTGCCCCCATCCCTGGGGTACTCACTTCCTCCCCCTTCCTCCCAGGTCATCAAACGAGAGGGCACAGGCACGGAGATACCAATGATTGGGGACCGAGTCTTTGTCCACTACACTGGCTGGCTGTTAGATGGCACAAAGTTTGACTCCAGTCTGGAACGCAAGGAAAAATTCTCCTTTGACCTGGGAAAAGGTAGGCATGGTTAGTGGGCCCGCAGGTTAGGCTTCAAGATAGCTGTAAGCTGTCACAAGCAGAAGCCGTATCCTCAGACCAAGCTTTGAGGAGGAGTGGTCTTCCGCAGTCTGTACTTTCTTTCTTTCTTTCTTTCGGTTTTTTTTTTTTGTTACTTTTTGTTACACATTATTCTTCTATTGTTCTTAACTTTATTGATTTCTGTTTCTCCCTCCTCTTCACCTCTCAGCATCTCACTTCCTTTTCAGGGGTGGGCTGTCTTCTTGAACTCCTTTGTTCCAGAGTTGAATGATCTCTAGACTTCTGAGACCTGACAGCACTTAATGCAACCAGGCTTCTTACCTCCTGGTCCCATTTCTAAAGGGTGTCCAGCTTCCCCTTGGATGTCTCTCTTTGGGGGCACTGTTTGAGGCCAGAGTCAGACCCCTACTAAGGGGGACCTGTTTTCCTCTGTACCTGCAGGTGAGGTCATCAAGGCTTGGGACATTGCTGTCGCAACCATGAAGGTGGGGGAAGTGTGCCACATCACCTGCAAACCAGAATATGCCTACGGTTCAGCAGGCAGCCCTCCAAAGATCCCCCCCAATGCCACGCTTGTGTTCGAGGTGAGTGTCCGGCCACAGAGATCCAGGCAAGGAGCCAGGCCTTATCTCAGCCCAATGCCTGGCTGCCCTCCAGCCCTTCCTGCCTCTTGGAGACAATGTAGCCAAGGCTGAGAGCCTGGCCTTAGGAGGAGGAGGGATGGAGAGGGCAGCTGGCTCTGCTGCTGCTGCCAGAAAGTGGCCAATAATGGAGGCTTCATAGGAAGAGGTGGCCACAAACCCTTCGGCATGCTCAAAGCAGGTAAGGGGTGAGGCATCTTTATCTCAGGAGCAGTACACAGAGGAGATTTTAACTGAAAGGAGTCCAGAGATCAGAAACTACATAGTTATAAATAGCAGTAAAGAATATTGGGGGCCGGCCCGTGGCTCACTCGGGAGAGTGCGGCACTGGTAGCACCAAGGCTGCGGGTTCAGATCCTATCCAGGGATGGCCGGTGCAGTCACTGGCTGAGCTGGTGCGGACCACACTGTGCTGAGGGTTGCGATCCCCTTACCGGCCAAAAAAAAAGAATATTGGTACTCTGGAGATCAGAGGAGGGAAGAAATGCCTCCCCCGTGGGTCAAGGGGACAAGAAAAGACTTCACTGAGCAGATGGAACTTTACTCTGTTCAGTCTCCAAATGGTTGAATCAACCAGTGGGCACCCGGAGAATGTTCAGAAGACTGCTGAGATGTCAGGTCAGATCCGGTCCGACAGTTACCAGGGGCTCTTCTGGATGAGAGGTTATAGTTCACTGTCGATGAGTTAGTGTGGGGAGGAGCTGTGTCACCTTCTGTCTCGTCTCACAGGTGGAGTTATTTGAGTTCAAGGGAGAGGACCTGACAGAAGATGAAGATGGCGGTATCATCCGCAGAATACGGACTCGGGGTGAAGGCTATGCCAGGCCCAACGAGGGCGCTCTTGTGGAGGGTGAGACAGTACAGTCTGAGGTTTCAGTCCTCGTTCTGACCCTTAGGCCCTGGGTGGCTTTGGGCAAGTCCCTTCCTTTCTCTGAGGCTATTTTCTCATCGTCAAACCATACCCTCTTCACATCCCTCTTGAGAACACAACAGGGGGTTCTTGGGGGCCAGAAGTGATGGGGTGATGTAGGGAAGCTTATGGCATCCTTCCTCAGACACCTGCCCTCTCATGCCCCTGGTACATTGCCTCTCTTGCATGCCAGTCGCTCTGGAAGGGTACTACAAGGACCAGCTGTTTGACCAGCGGGAGCTCCGCTTTGAGGTCGGTGAAGGGGAGAGTCTGGATTTGCCTTATGGGCTGGAGAGAGCCATTCAGCGTATGGAGAAAGGAGAACATTCCATTGTGTACCTCAAGCCCAGGTGAGGGGTGGGCACTTTGTAGAGCCAGCAGGCAAACTGGGGTCAGAGAGCTAAATGTTTACTGCCACTCTGGGCACACCAAAATATATGCCTTATGATCTCCTCGCTGTATTTAGAAAAGACAGTCTGCATTGTCACGATTGTTTACGTCTCCTTGGATTAAAGCCTAATCTTTTCAGTCATAGTTCCTCCAGGTTCCCTCCACTGCCAACATTAAGATTTTCATCTTCCATTAATTCTTTCCATCATTAACGTTGTTTATTGAAACATACCTACTATGTGTCAGTCACACAGCTGAAAATTCTAGGGGTTCTAGCAGAACATTGTTCTGCCTTCTAGCACCTCACTGTTCAGCAAGGTGCCATTTAAGTTAGTAATTGTACCACTGTGTAGTTCCAACTTATTAGGAGGATATAGACGATGCTAAGGGACCACCTAATTGTGTGGAGAGGTCACAGATGATTTTGCCAAACAGGAGACATTTGGCCCAAGTCTCAAAGGATGGGGAGGCACTTTCCAGGAAATGGACAGGAAGCCTTTTGATGGCCCAAGTTTTTTCACCCCTACAGCTATGCTTTTGGCAATGTTGGGAAGGAGAAGTTCCAAATCCCACCACATGCCACACTGAAATATGAATTACACCTCAAGAATTTTGAGAAGGTGAGTTTGTTCAAGGTCTTCCTTCCCTATTGTGAAGTCAGGTCCCACCCTATAGGTGACTCTGGGATAGCTGACAACTTTGTTTCTCCCCCGGGACGTGGCAGGCCAAGGAATCTTGGGAAATGAGTTCAGAGGAGAAGCTGGAACAGAGCACCATAGTGAAAGAGCGGGGCACTGTGTTCTTCAAGGTGAGCCCACTGTCATGGTCTTAAGACTGTCCCACAGAGGGCTGTTCTGGGTCCACCCTTCCCACTGCTGGCTGAGGTCATTTTCTGCCAAGTGGATGGGTAGGTACTTGCAGTCTTCACCCAGTATATCTGAGCTCACTGGCCTTGCTGGGGGGTGGAGGTGGGATTCTCCTGTATCCACGGATCACTGACGTCGCAGGGTATGTTAGCATGGTGCCACTGACTATGTCCTGAGTGCCTGAGCCTCCTGTTCTAGGAAGGCAAGTACAAGCAAGCTTTACAACAGTACAAGAAGATTGTGTCCTGGCTGGAGTATGAGTCAAGTTTTTCCAGTGAGGAAGTGAAGAGAGCACAGGCTCTTCGACTGGCCTCCCACCTCAACCTGGCCATGTGTCATCTGAAACTACAGGCCTTCTCCTCTGCCATTGAAAGTTGTAACAAGGTGAGGCCCCTTTAGAGGACATGGAGGCACCAGTCACAGGCAGGGTTGGGTGAGCTGCCAGCATGTCTGGAACTTGTCCTCAGTGACTAGGGTAAGGATAGATCCGTGGGAGCTCTGAGAAGATGGGCCCAGAGGCACAGATACAAGTAGCAAGCACTTTGGCTTCAGTGGTAGTGGCAGTTGGGATGGGCGTTGGAGGAAGCACTTGTTTTTAACCTCCCTCTTACCTGTCTGCTTTATTCAAAAGAGAACGGAAACATGAGAGGTCCTCTTCCTCCTTCATCCAGAGGCCTGGTGTCTTCTGTCTGCCTCTTGCACTAAATGAGGTCCCTTCCTAGACTTTGGTCCACTCCCAAGCCTTGCTCTTGCTGGGGTAGAGCCAGCTAATTCCGTTCCTCCCAGTGTTACAGCGGGCCAGTTAGAGCAAGGTGCTGATAATACCAAGGTCCAGGGTTCCATCCCTGTACCAGACAGCAGAAATATAAATATATAAAACCCAGCCTTGGCCTGATGAGCTGTAGGACCTAAGGTCTCACCATCTTGCTTCCTCTGCATCCTTAGGCCCTGGAACTGGACAGCAACAATGAGAAGGGCCTCTTCCGCCGGGGAGAAGCCCACCTGGCTGTGAATGACTTTGACCTGGCACGGGCTGACTTCCAGAAGGTCCTGCAGCTCTACCCCAGCAACAAAGCTGCCAAGGCCCAACTGGCTGTGTGCCAGCAGCGGATCCGCAAACAGCTTGCCCGGGAAAAGAAGCTCTATGCCAACATGTTTGAGAGGCTGGCTGAGGAGGAGAGCAAGGTGAGGAGCAGGATGGGGCAGTTGGAATGGACAGAAAAAGAGGCATTTCCTTGTCCCCCTGCCCGACCCATCTGGCGTGGGCTTTTTGTGCCTGTGGTTATCTGTGCCAATTGTGGAAACCAGAAGTTGCCCTATTCCTTGGAGAGGAGCGTGTGTGTTTCCTTGGTAGTAACTCCTGCCGATGGGGCCAGCATTCCTCTATGATCAGGGCTGGAAACCCACTTGAAGCCCTAGGGGAGTCAGGAGTTAAGTTACTGCAAGTGTACTTCTCTGATTTATGTTCTCCTTTGTGCCTGGAGCCTTGGGGGGGGGGGTGCACACGCCTTTGAAAGGAGCCAGGTGTGTGTGTGTGTATTAAGTAGGTAATATATTTACATAGTTAAGTTCAAAGTGCACAAAAGGCTGTGTAGCAAAAAGTCTGCCTCCCTCCCCTCAGAAGCAACTGGTCATTCCAGTATATGCACGTGTACACAAGCAGACACATTCATGTTGCTTTCTCCCTTTTCCCTAACAGAGAAGGCAATATAGCACTTATTTCCCGTACTGTGCTCTTTTCACATAATAATCGCTGGAAGCTTATTTTACATCAGTATTTAAAAGAGCTTTCACATTCTTTTTTATCTTATGTAGTACTCCATTGTGTGGATACAGCATATCTTTTTTTTTAATTAGTCCCCTCTTTCTTAGTGTTTCAGTGTTCTAAACTAGGACTGTCCAGTAGAAATGTAATGCAAACCACATGTGTAATTTTAAATTTTCTAGTAACCTGGCCAGTTATCTCAGTTGACAAGAGCACGGTGTTATAACACCAAGGTCAAAAGCTTTGATACCTGCACCAGCCATCTGCCAAATAAATGTTTTCTAGTAGCCATGTCAAGAAAGGTAAAAAGAAACAGATGGAATTAATTTTCAATATTTTAGTTGATGCAAGTTATCTAAAACATTACTGCAATATGTATCTAAACAGTATGGCAATGAATTGTAAATTCATAATTTGCACATGGAAAGGTATCTTTAGGACAAATCTAGAAGGAGAATTGTTATATCTGTATAATTGTTAGAAATTGTATGTTTTCAGGCCAAGCCCGTGGCGCACTCGGGAGAGTGCGGCGCTGGGAGCGCAGCGGCGCACCCGCTGCGGGTTCGGATCCTATATAGGGATGACCGGTGTGCTCACAGCGCTCACTGGCTGAGTGCAGTGCGGCCGGTCTCAAAAAGGACAAAAAAAAAAAATTGTATGTTTTCTTCACCTTTAATATGTTGTTTGCTGCAGGTTTATTTTTAAAAGTCCTTTATTCGATTTTAAGGAAGTTCCATTCTCTTCCAGATTTACTAAGATTTGTTTGTTTGTTTAAATTATGAGTGGGTACTGTACTTATTTAGTTTTCCCCCATGGAATTCATATGATTTTTCTCATTTAATTGGTTAATATGATGAATTACATTATTCACATATTTTCTAATGCTAAAAAAAGAAAAAAGAAATTGTATGTTTTTTTACTTTTGAGAATTCAGCCCCTTCCTCTTCCTCCTTGCAGGCCAAGGCAGACATAGCTGCAGGAGACCATCAGGCTGACACAGAGATGAAGGATGAGCAGAAGAAGGATGCGGCAGGGAGCCAGTCTCAGGTGGAGACAGAAGCATAGCCTCTCCCAGCCCAGCTCCTGCGGCTGCCTGCCTCCCCTGCTCCCTCCCCTACTCCACCCTGTTAGTTTTGTAAAAACTGAAGAATTTTGAGTGAATTAGACCTTTATTTTTCTATCTGGCTGGATGGTGGCTTTGGTGGGGAGGGGGAAAGGTATAGGCTAGGGGGACTGAGGTGGGGCATAATTTTAGGTGGTGTCACCCCTCTTCCCTTCCCCCATTACACTCAAACATATGTCCATCCACATATACTTATCTGAATGTTAATTTATTTTGCTCCCTGTTTGTTAGGTCCATTTTTCAAATGGTAGAAGGGGGCGAGTGGTAGGGAGGGGGTCTGATGTGAAACCAGGGTGGAGAGGGAGACTCCTGGGCAGCCGCTTTCCTCATCCTTTCTTTCTCCCAGTCCATTTCCAAACACGTGGCCTCCATGTGGGTGCTAGGGGCATGGGAAGAACCACTGCTGTGCCCATTATTTCTCTGTTCCCGTCCTCACCCCAGATGGTGTGGCTGTGATGTTTTCTGGTGTCATGGTGACCACCCTCTGTACCTGCTTCCAGTACTTCCTGTATCAGTTTCCCTTCTCAGTCAGGTTGTATCCCCACCCCATCCCACCCCCAGCCTCTTCTCTGCACGTTGCTGAAGGTCCAGGCTTGCCTCAAGTTATGTGCTTGAGCAATAAAGTGGAAACAAAACCTGGGTGTCAGGCAACCCTTTCTGTTCGGGGTTGAGTGGGTGGATACACTATGGGTAGGGGCAAAGTCAAGGGGGTCACCACCTAGTCTTCAGTCCAGCTGAAATAAATGCGGCATCTGACGGGGATGCAATAGTTGGGCAGGAAGCAGCCCCATGTGCAGGGCCTCCTGAGCACTGCACAGCCTGCCCCTGGGACTTGTGCTTATGGCCTGGCTGCAGATTGCCAGCACTCCCTCCCCCAGCAGCCTGGCAGTTTCTAGTACCTCTGGTTTTTTCCCCTAACACTTGGGAAAAAGAAAGTATAAACATCTGAAGATTGGGACTTTGCATATTTGCTTTGAAGTTAGATTTGTGTACTTGTGCCTAACTTTGATCTGGTAGAGGCATCTTTGTGCCTCTTGGTTTAACAAGGTAAAACTCCTAGTGTCAGTAACCCCCTCCTGTGAGACCTTTTACATGATTCAGGTAAGAGTGCAGAACAGCAATCACACCCAGCTTTTTGGCCTGATGATTAGCATTGTGGCCCACAAACCCTGTGATGCACTTGGCACTCCACTCTGTACCAGCTGCACCACCCAGAGGGTAAAAGCTGCAGGTAAATTGTGCATCCCATTCTAACTGGAGAAAAAAACTAGTGTAAAAGCAGTACCTTTTTAGAAAATCATTACTGGAAAATAGCTAAAAGAAATCTTCCGTCTGGGCCGGCCCGGTGGCGCACTGCTATAGTGCACCGCTTGAGAAGCGCGGCGGCGCTCCCGCCCGAGGGTTCGGATCCCACATACAGACCGGTTCCCGTTCACTGGCTGAGCGAGGCGTGGGAGCAACACCGAGGGTTGCAATCCCGTTGCCGGTCCCCGGTCCGGTACGGGGGCAACACTGAGGGTTGCGATCCGTTGCCGGACACGGAAAAAGACAAAAAAAAAAAAAAAAGAAATCTTCCATCTGAATGTCTAATTATTCCTTTCCAGATGCAGAACACCTTTTAGCTCATAAATTGAAATGACAGGGCCGGCCCGTGGCTCACTCGGTAGAGTGCGGTGCTGATAACACCAAGGCCACGGGTTCGGATCCTATATAGGGATGGCCGGT